GGTCAGGCCGGTGTGTGCCTGAGTTCTCTGCGGGGCCCTGTAGACTTAGGTGGTGAAGAAAGAATCTGGTKGTTTCTCAGGATTGAGAGGAAATGGCGTTCGTCATCCATTGATCCTATATATAGTTAACTCAACACACTGGCCTATTAACGTAAAGATCTTTTTATGTGGTGTTGGGGATCAAGCTCAAAGTCTCACACATGCTGAGCACATTCCCTACCACTGAGCTGCACTCCAGCCCTAAATTTCTTCATCACCAAATCATATCTTTCATGACCTTCTGCATGCTCTGCTTTCTCTGGTCTCCAGGTGGTGTTTGCTCAAGAAATACACGTGGAATCTATCAATCTTAACAAAATCAGGCAGGGGAAAGCATGATCTGTGTTCTGAATCATAGTGAAGCAGCCTTGGGGCGTTGTAAGGGAGGGGCACTTCACCACGGGTTGCTAGAGCTGATACAAGCAGGTAGGAAGAGTTTAGGAGGAGAAGGAGCAGGATGTGTATTCAGATAGATATTTGGATGTTGAGGAGTTAATCCTCTTTGCCCTCAGTGGTAGAGACAGAATGATAAAGGTGCTCTTTACAAGAATAGTCTAGTGATTTAAAAATTGAAGATGACCTATAGGAGACAGTACTCACATTGAGAGTTTCCAGAATGAATCTCCTAGGTTATAAATAAAATTACGGTATTGTGCCATCTATAACTAAAAAAATTAAAAGTGGGGGGGGCAGGGTTTGGCTTGCAGTGACGTCAGCCTTCCGGCACTCGGCTGGGAACCACTGGGTTCCTCCAATGGTTTAAAATAGAAAACAAAGAAGACAGTGTATGAAGCTGGAGATACTTTCCAGAACGAGAATATAGCCCTTGGTGGATCCTAAAGACATTATGAGGACACACTCCTGTGCTGTCACAGATGAGGAATCGCAGGCGTCCACCCTTAAGGTTTTTTCAACATGCAGACTTTCTGTGTTTTGCTGGCAAGTTATGCTTGGACGGTACCCACGGAAGTGGGGTGGGAGCCATGGGGGGCCTTGCACAGGCTGGAGTGCTCTACCACTGAGCCACATCCCCGGCTCTTTTTTTGTTTTGTTTTTGAGACAGGGTTTTGCCAAGTGGCCCAGGCTGTCCTCGAACTTCCAATCCTCCTACTTTAACCTCCTGAGTAACTGGGATAACAGGAGTGTGTGCCATCACGCCCTGGTGAGAAATACTTTTTTTTTTTTTTTTTGGTACCAGGGATTGAGCTCAGGGGCAGTCAATCACTGAGCCACATCCCAGCCCTGTTTTGTATTTTACTTAGAGACAGGGTCTCATTGTGTTGCTTAGTGCTTCGCTTTTGCTGAGGCTGGCTCTGAACTCACGATCCTCCTGCCTCAGCTTCCTGAGCCGCTGGGATTATAGGTGTGCGCCACCAGGCCTGACTAAAAGTACCATTTTTAAGGCTCCCAAATCATTAGATTCCTTCCCAACAAGATGACAACTATAGTCTTAGTATTTTTAAAAATAGCTTTATTTTATTCATTTTTTTTAATGTGGTGCTGAGGTTTGAACCCAGGGCCTCTCATGTGCTTGGCAAGTGCTCTACCACTGAGCCACAACCCAGCCCCACCCAGTTTTAGTATTTTTGATGAATGAGTATTATAACAAAAAGGGTATCAGTAATATTTTTAAACCGATTTATCCTTATCTGCTATATCAAATCTATATCCAGTTGAAATATAGATGTAATATCCAAATACAAATACAGACCTTTKKGTGTGTGTGTGTGGTGGGTACTRGGGGTTTAATCCTGGGGCTCTCTGCCACTCAGCTACGTCCCCAGTCCATTTTTTAAATTTTATTTTGAGACAGGTCTTGCTAGGTTACTGAGGCTGGTCTCAAACTTGTGATCCTCCTGTTAACAGTATCCAAAATTCTTAATTTGAGTTTCAAGACCGTCCTTAATGAGGCTCTTACTGATGTCTTTTAGCCTTAGCTCTCTTGGTGCCCACGACCCGACTTCTCACATTTGGTAGGTCCGTCATCCCAAGGCGTCTGCCTTTTGAGGACTTGCCSTCAGCTCCAGCTAAACATGTGCCGTCTTGTCGGGTCGTTCAGTGATTGGAAATATCCTGCCCTCCTCTGCTTACCCRTGGCAGGGGATCTATCCAAAGACCAGGGGGTTTTGAGTTTAGGAAACAAAGACTGCGAGTACTGCCCTGGGCGTTGAGTTAAAAGAGGGGGAAGTGGCTACGGAAGCGGCAAACGCTGGGTTGGAGCTGGACAGCCAGGTCTGCCCTGGTCTGCACTGTGTGCTGCTGCGGGGCACGTCTGTCTTCACGTCCTTCCTTCCCACCCAGCCAGTCGGGCCGGGCCCGCCTCTCCTCTCACCGTCTTTGCTGGGTTCTTCTGTCTTTCGTTTATAGTGTAAAATAAAAATTTCTTCCAGAAAAAAATTGGTGTTCTCAATTTTTGACTTGCTTATTTTGCGGTTTTGTGGGAGGATGGAGAAAAGTTCTGTGGTAAAACACACACACACTTTCTGTTTTTTAATTTACTGGTGCGAATGTGGGGAAAAGGCAGGTCCTCTCTGGCAGTAGGAGGGGTGTCGGGGATGTACCCACTGACCCTCAGGTACTGCTCCAGACTCCGGCCGTTGAGCTTCTGTTCTCAGCTCTCACAGGGTTGTCTTTTCTGTTGTTAGATTCATCTTGCTGTGACTTTTTAAAAAGTTTCTTCTGGCACAAAGCTTATAAAGCTGTGGAAAGAAGGTGAAAAGTTTGTGTTATTATCYCACATTGTGGAATTGCAGCAATACACCTCACGCGGTAAGAGTCTGTCCTTGTCCTGGGACGGTTTCCTAGGCCTTGATGACCAGGGGAGTGGAAAGGGGAAGGAAAGGTAGAATACGCGTTGTCCCCCCTCCCTCCCTGTGGGGAGGACTGGGGATTGGCACCAGCGGCGTTTTACCACTGAGCTACATCCAGTGTGTTCCATTTTTTATTTTGAGGCAGGGTCTCAGCTTATTTGCTGAAGGTCTCACTGAATTGCTGAGGCCAGCCTTGAACTTGTACCCCTCCTGCCTCAGCTTCCAGGGTGTCTGCCATCACAGGTGCCGGCTCCGGGCCCCRGGTACGCTGTGTCTTCTAGTTAGACCAGAGTTGTGTCCCTGGGCAGACCTGGTGAGAGTTCAGGTGGCTCCCCACATACAGCAGGGGCTGTTGGCAGAGTGACCTCAGTCAGGAAAAGCACTGACCCAGCTTCCAGGGAACCCCCTCCCTTTCCTTACACACAAGCCCAGTGACTTGGTCGATATGATCCTTCTGGACCCAAGAAAATGTGGACTTTYATTCTACTGAACATTATCTCTTCCATAATTCTGCTGAGCCTTCAGTTGGAAGAGGAGGATAAAGAAAAGGAAGCTGATAAATAGTACATATTTTCCTAATGTTTAATCGAATATTCAGCGTTGARTTTTCTTTCTTTTTTGGGGGGTGAGTGTACCTATAAAGTTACCTGAATTGAATATAGGAGAAAGATGATTARATGTTAGGGTTCACTTTTCACCTGACTGAGACCAGGACAAAAGCTCAGAGATCTTGTTCTAGGTCAACTTGGGAGCTGAAGGTGGTTAGTGAACATGAATACTGGACTACAAGGAGCAAGGTTTTGTGGTTAGGCTATTTTCTCTTTTAGAGTTTTTATTATACCTGAAGAAATAAAATTTATTTTATTAATAACAGTAGCCTAGGGGCTGGGGCTGGGGCTCAGCAGTAGAGCRCTMGCCTAGCACGTCTGAGGCCCTGGGTTCGATCCTCAGCACCACATAAAAATAAATAAATAAAATAAAGATGTTGTGTCCAGTTAAAAAAAATAATATTAACAGTAGCCTAACCATCCCAGGGCATTTGGATTYAATAAATCATGTTGGAAGGGTCAGACTTCTGTAGAGTTGTATTTAAATGTGGAAACTGGCAGTTCCATTTAGCAAGTCCTTCCCAGGGATAAAAGGTAAGGTAGATGTCTGTTTGATGATTTGCAGTTAAGGGGCCGGCATAGGGAGGTTTTGCTGGTCCTGATTCTGGAAGATGATGATGGAGGTAGAGAGAGTAGGTCATCACTGTTTCCTGATGAGTAATTGGGATATTTGCTTGTATGGGATTGTATGACTCACCATGAAAGCATCTGACCCATCACAGAAAGTTCTTTAACAAATTATTAAGAGCCGACTATGTGTCAGCTGTTGTCTTTTTGTTGGGGTAAATAAGACAGGTCTTTGTGTTTTCAGAACCTACATTCTGGTAACATTCAACCTGGTAGTTAGTGATTTGAGGAAATCCTAAATAAAATGGAATTAAGAATGCCAAGGGCAGCCAGGTGCAGTGGCGCATTCCTGTCATCCCAGCAGCTCGGGAGGCTGAGGCAGGAGGATCKCGAGTTCAAAGCCAGCCTCAGCAATTTAGCAAGGCACTTAGCAACTCAGTGAGACCCTGTCTCCAAATAAAATACAAAAAAGGATGGGGATGTGGCTCAGTGGTCGAGTGGCCCCGAGTTCAGTCCCCAGTACCAAAAAAAAGAAGAAGAAGAAGAAGAAGAAGAAAAGAGTGCCAAGGACAGGTGAAAAAGCGCCTCAGTTACTTGTTATACAAAAGCATAATGAAAAGTTATTGGAAGTTCCAGATTTTTTTTTTTATCTAAGGGGGAAAACCCTCTTTCACATTGTAAATGGTGCTCGGGGGACTTAGCTACTAAGTATTTATACAGTCAGTCCGGACCCCCCTCTGTTGAGCAGCTGCACTGTTAAGACCCTCCTCCCCAAGTCCTGTCGTGCCTGCTTCCTTTTCCTGTAGTAGGTAAAGGCRCGGGCCTCACCTTGTAGCCAGTACTTCTGACATGGCCTGCCTCCCCCACGGCCTCCGCTCCTACCCCGCAGGGAGTCTGATCAGTGTGTCCCCCGTGGTGGGACTTGAACCAGGGTGCTTGGCTGCTCCACCTGTGCACTCTACAAAACTCACGAAACCTTATGAACAAACAACCCTTAAAAAGTACAGGATTCTCATTTCTGTATCACTTCCTTATTTGTTAAGTGCATGAATATCACATTCATTCTTCAAAGATGAAACGATATTCTGTGTGAGAATTTGATGATTCCCAATCTTACTGAGCCACATCCCCAGCCCTACTTTCTGAATTTTTGAGGTGGTCTCACTAAGCTGCCCGGCTGCCTTGAACTTGCTCCCTTTCCCTCAGCCTGCAAGTCACTGGGATCAGAGGCGCGTCACCACTGCCAGCTTGGGGCGTTTTCAGGACCTTGGACTCCGTTGATAGCCAGGGCCCCAGGAACATCTCCCTCCCCCTCCTGGAGAAAGCCAAGGCAGCAGAGGCACAGCACTCCCCTGCTCATGAACATACCTCGGAAGGCCACCAGGCTTGTGAAGAGCCAGAGCCACGGCTTTTCCTGTGGGAGACCTGAGCTGAGGGCGCCTCCACTCGGGCTGACCTCGGGGTGCGTTCTCAGTTTCAGTCCTGTCACCGTGTAGTTCCCTGTCTCTGGTTCAAAGGGGAGGCGTGGCAGAGAGGATTACACAACYGGAAGGATGAGAGGGTCGCTCCACCTGTGCACCCTGTCGAAATGCACTCTGCCCTGTGTGGCSACTTAGGACAGAACTTATAAAACCTTATTAAACAATAAAAACCTGATTAAACAACTCTTTAAAAAAGTACAGGATTCTCATTTCTGTATCACTTCCTTATTTGTTAAATGCATGAATATTACATTCATTTTTCAAAGATGAAACAATATTTTGTGTGAAAATTCAATAATTCCCCAAGTCTTAAAAAGGAATCATGGATCGAGGGAAGGTTTCACAAATCATCTCCTTTCGCATCATCTCAGAACATCTCACATGATCGCTAAGGATACCTCCCAGCATAATTCAYTGTCCAAATAAGTATTTTTAACGCGGGTGGTGGTGGTGATACACTTAAGCAGCAATAACTGTAGAATCCAGGGTTGCAAAGAGACCTTGGGGGAACTCCAGAGTTCTGCCGGAGACRGCTAAGACAGCGTAATCACCCTGGACCTGTGTGTTCCCAACTCACTCACAGACCCTCTTCTGGAGTGGATCAAGAACGTGACGTAAGTTAAAATCTTGGACGTTAGAATACCTGTGGGTTTTATCATCTACTTGCTGGGTGAACTTAGTTGTCACAGGGCAATTATAGCACCTACTTCAAGAGCACGTGGAGAGAAAATGAAGTAACATTCAGCACAATGCCTGGCACGTAGTAAGCCATTTCACTCATGATGTGAAAAGCCTTGTTTAGTGATGTCACCTGTTACCTGTCTAGTCCTACTAGTTTCCAAAGGAAACCTGATTTCCACAGCTAGGGATTACCTGATGTGCTCTCAGGCTTAAATAGGCGGAAAGGATGAGAAAGGCATTCTTTGTTAAGAAAAACTACCACAAGCAGAAACACTTAGAATGTATTAGGAGAATGTGAATACTAGGCTGTAAGGAGCCAGGACTACACTGTACCTCATACTCTTCTCCAAGGCCTGGCACTGTACCTGGGATAGATTATAAATATTTGTTAGGCAAATGGAAAAGGGTAACCATTTATTTAATTAGAGSAGAGTATTCACAAAATAATAAAGTTTTGCAGAGCCTCCAGTGCCAGGATTAAAAAAAAAAAAAAGCCTTATACTTTCTGAACAGTAGTGGTGTGGCATATGCAAATTAGCATTTTAGTGTGCCTGGTGGCAGTATGTAGGATGGGTTGGAGGAAGAGACTTGCGAAGCGTCTTTGGGAAGCAAAGTAACTGACTGGCTTAGGGATGAGAACCAYGGAATCAAGGTCTGGTTGACTCTCCCGCCCCGCCCATCAGTGTGAACTTTGTGCTGGGATCAACGGAACCAAGGTCTGCATGGAGAATCCTGTGCAGAAATGGGGCTCGGGAGGGTAGCGTTGGCGTCCAGGAGACGGTAAGGCATCTGGGAGCCAGTCCATTTGTCAATGGGGATGTTTCAACAAAAGAGACTAAGGGCTGGGGTGTGGCTCAGCCTGGAGCGCTTGCTAGCACAGGTGGACCGGGTTCCATCCTCAGCACCCCATGAAAATAAAGGCATTGTGTTGTGTCCATCTACACCTAAAAATAAAGAAGTAAATATTTAAAAAGGAGAGGTTAATTTATGGGTCCTTTGCAAGGAGGTACAGGGATGGATCATGAGGGTGGATGCAGACGGGAGGGAGAGGAAGTTGAAGGGGTGAAGGGTCTTAGGAAGGACTCAAGAGGTGAGAGGAAGAAATGGAAGAGAGAAGAAGATAAAAGAAATCCTATAGGTGGGAGGACCCAGGGGGACAGGTACAGAAGCCAATGAGGGGGAGTTTGAGGAAGGAGCCAGTAGTTAGAGCAGGACCAGATGCCGCAGCTAGGTAGCTAGGTCTGCAGCTAGGTCTGCAGCTAGGTCTGCAGCTAGGTCTGCAGCTAGGTCTGCAGCTAGGTCTGCAGCTAGGTCTGCAGCTAGGTCTG